GATTGCAACATTGTTGCAATTGGTAATTAAGTGTGTTTCTAGGTGGCTGTCGTTCGACTACCGACCACACGGCGGTCGGCCATCTTGATTCTTTTGTTAAACCAGCGGTGTTTTGCCGTCGAGCGCGTGGAACTAAAAACGGCTACTCGACGGCGCGAACACCGCTGGACTTCTAGGCCGTTCAGGAACCCTGGCCGTTCGGTAGTTTGTTCCCCATATCCTAATCGGTATTTTAAACCTATGTTAGAAATAATGTGTATTTCATGCGGCGTTCGGTTAGTTAGACTCGGAGCTGAGCGGTATTCTCACGAACTATGCGCTCAGCCTATATAACACAAGACAGGTCACAGTACCAGTCTCTCTCTCTATATAACACAATACAGGTCACAGTACCAGTCTCTTTCCCTATATAACACAATACAGGTCACAGTACCAGTCTCTCTCTATATAACACAATACAGGTCACAGTACCAGTCTCTCTCTATATAACACAATACAGGTCACAGTACCAGTCTCTCTCCCTATATAACACAATACAAGTCACAGTACCAGTCTCTCTCTATATAACACAATACAGGTCACAGTACCAGTCTCTCTCCCTATATAACACAATACAGGTCACAGTACCAGTCTCTCTCTATATAACAAAATACAGGTCACAGTACCAGTCTCTCTCTATATAACACAATACAGGTCACAGTACCAGTCTCTCTCCCTATATAACACAATACAGGTCACAGTACCAGTCTCTCTCTATATATAACACAATACAGGTCACAGTACCAGTCTCTCTCTATATAACACAATACAGGTCACAGTACCAGTCTCTCTCTATATAACAAAATACAGGTCACAGTACCAGTCTCTCTCTATATAACACAATACAGGTCACAGTACCAGTCTCTCTCTATATAACACAATACAGGTCACAGTACCAGTCTCTCTCTATATAACACAATACAGGTCACAGTACCAGTCTCTCTCTATATAACACAATACAGGTCACAGTACCAGTCTCTCTCTATATAACACAATACAGGTCACAGTACCAGTCTCTCTCTATATAACAAAATACAGGTCACAGTACCAGTCTCTCTCTATATAACACAATACAGGTCACAGTACCAGTCTCTCTCTATATAATACAATATATCTGTATACTGAAGGAAAAACAATGATTGAGACATGCTATGACTATATACGTGCCTTATCAGAATAAAAATGGATAATTTTTCAGATCTGATAGTTCCGGCATATTAGTATCTCTCCACATCCAACCCTGACACAGGATTAGCACCAATCACAGCGATTGCAGTCATTAACGCAGAGTGGAGATAAGTACTGTAAAGGACAGGTTATTTGGAATTGTTAAATGCTCCAACTGGTTTAATGTGTAATCTTCCATGTATAAAGAATTTTCAACTATGAAGACATTTATTTATTTTTTTAAAACAGCCCCCAACTAAAATATTAAAACAACAAAGCTACGGAATTAGAAAAGAAACTAGTTTTTTCTCGCTACTGAGGGAGGATGTGCAAAACTAAGATAATTAATAGTATGTGGTAAAAAGAGGAAACGCAACATAATAACACCACAAACAAAAATAAGGTCTGAAGATGGCGGTAATGATGGCAATGAGAAGGCAGCAAGGAATTCTGGGAAAACCATAATGCCCCCCACTAAGGGAGTAAAAGAGACCCTGAACCCCGTGGCGGCAGCACCTGGCGCAGTGTCAGGATTGGAGTGTTAGATCACAACTAACAGAAATATGAACCGCGTCCAGGTCTCCGCCAGGTCTGAATATGGCGATGGATCCTGCTGACGCTGGCTGCCATCTTTGTCTGTCCCACTGCACATCTATCATTCTCCATTCTGTCTAACTAGACATGGCATCTACGTCGAGCTCTGTCTCTGTTGGTATCTCCCCAGCATCCTTCAAACCTTACGTTTATTAATATCCTCTTAAAATGGCTTCTTTCAACCTAACCCCAGTCTAACTGCTATCCCATAATGCTCATGGACATAACGCTGTCTGACCCTCTTCTGTTTGGTCTTCACTGTAACCAGGAAAAAGAGAGGTCCAGGCTCCGCAATGCACATTTATTGGAACCAAGTACACAGCAACGTTTCGACCCAACAATGGGTCTTCGTCAAGTTCACTGTAACCAATGACTTATTTCTTGCTATTTCTTTATTTTACTTTTAGCTTTGCCACTTGCCTTTTTCCCCTTATCCCATCATAACGAGGGAGGCTGGTCCACTGGGGCTGGGCAGGCAGTATTCCCTAGTTTTTGTTGCAATAAAATGAAAAAAAAACAAAGAAATCAAGATGTCAGATCGATGACGTCCTAAGAGATAGGTTCATGTTTTGTTCCGTCTTGTAAGATTGTCATTGGGTAACAACATCAGTGGGCGGAGCCAGGCCTCTTTAAAGTGGTTATTGATATCCAAAGGTTTATAGTGTTGAACCAGGTTTGACCTCCCATGGTGCCAAGGGTTGAGTAATTGAGGTTAATTTGACATCATAGGCACCCAGATCACTTCAGCTCATTAAAGGGGCCTGGGTGCAGTGTCCCAGGTCCCTTACCCTGCAGTGGTAATTATTGCAGTTTTTAATAAACTGCAAAAATTATCTGCCAGGATTAACTCCACATCTAGTGGCTGTCTGCCAGACAGACTTCTGGGTCGTTAGGCGATGCTATGCATGGGGACGTCCAGCGGAGCCTGAACCAGCAATGAGGGACATCGGCGCGGGAACCAGGTAAGTGACAGAAGGGGATTTTAACCCCATCTGCACCAAGGAGGGGGGTTGGCAGCGACAGAGGGGGCACTTTAAGGAGCAATAGTGCCAGGAAAGCAACTTTGTTTTCCTGGCACTATAGTTTCCCATTAAGTTGGAAGAGTCCAACAAGCCAGGTGGCAGGGTCAAATAATATGGGTGGAGTCTAATGCACCACCATCGTTAAACTTCACCAACCACCACTGGCTATAACCATCACTGCTTTCCTCGTGCCGATTGGACCTCCATCCAAGTTCTCCTTTTTTTTCTATTAAATCACTCGTAGTCCGTTTCATTGGGGAAACCATGTTCACACTGAAACCTACGACTGAAAATGACCAATTTATAATATCTACATACTGTGTATTGGAAGAATTAACTCAACCAGAGATGGTGGAGAATCGGTCAAAGATTTGCAAATTAACTGAACTGGGAATTAGCAGCGATAGAGAAGGTGTCCAACCCTGATATTCTGGATAAAATGTTCAATCCCTAGTCAGCATTTTAGTAAAAATAGCCATGTAATGGACCGTTTTGCACATAAGAGGTTAAAAAACGTTTAGGCGATATTCCCCTTTCCAGATGCACCGACAGCTACTGTAAGCACCAATCTCCCGAACTGCAAACTACACGAATTCACCAACTCCCGAACAGGAAACACACGAACACTGGAAACAGTCGAACAGGAAAAGCATACAATCAGCTTACACTCCTGGCAATCAGCATACAATACAATTCCCCCAATAACGAGACGACACTTCGTTTTGAGGGTCAAGCAGGAACTGGTTTACTGGGGCTACCTGCCCGGCTTTTATGCAAGTCTCCCACCTGGTGGACACTCCCCTAGGGGACCAGATGGGAGACTGGTACACAAAGGATAAAAGGACCAATCACAGACTTACACATTTCAACAATCCCACAATGCATCACAATCCCTCCTCTCAATCCTGGAGATAATTGGGAAGTAATCCAATTATCTCCAAGGACAGAGGCAAAACTCCATTACACACACTTTAGTAAATAGACATAAAATTATACACGGTTACCTTTATCACACAAAACACTCACATTCTACATATCCCCAGATAGCTTAGATCTGAGCGCACATTGTTACCGAATGGCGCTCAGATCACATACATACAGTTCAATTGCCATGGAGCCAAGGTCTTTCCCATAGTCTTTCGTTACACGAATAGGCTCCATGGCATGGCTATCTGGGGTGATGCTGTTCATACGGTCAAACTACCGAATGAACAGTGATTCAGTTCCACTACCGAATGCAGAGGTAAGGAGGCTGGCGGCTCAGCGGTGTTCGCGCAAATAAGTGTCCGTTTTCAGTTCCATAGTTTGGGCGCTGAACACCGCTGGCCGTTCGGGAGTAAAATGGCCGCTGCCACGTGTTCGGCAACAGAACAAAGACCACCCAGCATTTGTCAATTAAGCTGCGGCAATTGACGGCATACTCCAGTTCCTAGGTGGTCGATCTTTAGATACTTTGTTCGGTAGATTCAATCTACCGAACACCCCGGCAGAAAGGCACGAATAAGCCTTTCTGCAGGGAAAATAAAAGGTTTTAAATGCCGGGCCATAGTCTAAAGGGAGCAGGCGAGCAACCAGGCTCCTCCAGTGGACAGTGGCGAGGCTGGTTTCGCCACAAACCATTTGTGTGTTAAATCGGGAGGAATTACAGATCAAACTAAAGTGTTGGACATTCCACTTCAATGTGATAAAAGTGTCAGTTTTACATATCTGGATGGGAGGCAGCTATTGAGGGGTTAAGAGCGGAGGGAGGGGGGGCAATGTCTCCCTGGGTATCACAGGATGTTGGGTGTTTGATACTAATCTACATAGAGTGTACGGACTCAGAGTCTCCTGTATAAAATGCTCTTTGTGTCGGTGTATACCGCGTGCATATACTTACCGTCAGATCAATCCATTTGTGCTTCTCTTTATGATTCAAGACAGGAGAAGATTAAAGGCCACTCTGTAACATCAGAGGCCGAAAAGAAAGATCATATTTAAAGTGTTTTATTAGGACAGCGATATGCCAGCGCATGCAGTGGGTAGGCCAGCCTGGGACACTCACAAATAATGGCTGTATACGGACTGAGTATAGAACCTCCAGGTTCTATCTAGATCAGGGCACGCAGCTTTAATTAAATAGAAAGCACGGAATACAGTTATAGCGAATGTGTGTCTATGCACAGGGGGTCACAAACCTGAAAGCACTTTAGAGGATTGCAAACCCCTTTAGTGAGACTCACCGTGAACTGGAGAGTCCGACTTGAAAAAGGACTTGACTTTGCAAGACTCAAATAGGGGGATGACCTGCGACCTTTGTCATTTGTTGTTGCCATGGCAATCTCCGGTTTGTGATAATTGTAAATGTATTTTTCTACTAAAAGGTCAGATCAGCCAGGGTGTGAGTTATAATCCACTGCTCCCCATAAAGAATAAATAGTTTAGCAGCTTTAGTTCCATCTTAAGGCTAAAGCATGCACTGCCAATCCCTAGAAATATTGAGCGATTATTAATCCTACATAAGTGGTAGAATAATTAGTCGGATATAGAGAGTTCCTGATGGGGTGAGATATTCGTTCATTTTCATGCAGTTGCTATGGAATTAAAAAACACTTAGTTTAGCGGTTTAGCAAATCGTTATTTGATTGCTCTAAACTAGTCGTCATAGAGAGGCCATCGCTCCTTAACACCAGGAGGCGCACAATGAAATGATTGAGTTCGCTGACAAACGGAGAAATACTTAATTTCTTGCTTAAAATACAAAATATATTGCTAGCTTTTAACAAAACAAAGAGTTTTGTGAACAGATTTCTCTGATCGGAGTGTGAGGAGCCCCAAACCCCATGAAATCCATAATAGGCCACAGATATGATATTAATAGTTAGTAAACAGGTAATGATTTAACCAGTTCTTATAGGGGGAGGAACACTTTGTACACAGAGTACAAGTAAAGACAAGGATCCAGGATGGATTTCATTCATTTTTATGGAATTTCTACCAAGTACAATAAGAATGCATTAAAGGGACACTATAGTCACCTGAACAACTACAGCTTATTATATAGTACACAGCTTATTATATAGTACCCAGCTTATTATATAGTACACAGCTTATTGTTTTTGTTCTGGTGAGTATAAGCAGTTCCTTCTGGCTTTTTGCTGTAAACACGGTTTGTTTCAAAGAAAATGCAGTGTTTACATTACAGCCTAGGGATACCTCCACTGGCCACTCCTAGGATGGCTGCTAGAGATCCTTCCTGGGGCAGTGCTGCACAGTGTGATAGACAATTACCAGATTTTACTAATTACATGACGTAAAGTCATGATTTTATAAAGGACACGGAGGCGAGTATTAGGCTTTATCTCTTTCTTTATTCCTCAGCAGCAAAGAAAGGATATTGATATTTTTAATATAGCAATAACAAAAAGATAAAACAAATACCCTTAAGGGTTAACCATATAACATTCCATATCCATTAACCAATAGGATCAGTCCTTGTACTATATCCCTTCATGTGAGGTAAACTACTTCCTCTTTCTGGCTGATGCCGAAGCTGAACACATCAACAAGGGAAAAAATTTTCTCAAACTTGGGTAATCTTTCGTAGGGGTTCCGGCGAATGTTCCAAAGAATGTCGAGATAGTGGACGATCCCGGTTATGTCATCACAGGGTTAAGCTGTAGGAGACAGAGAGATATATGGTAAAATATATTCGAATATCGTTGTCATGCATATATGTTGTACCGGTCCTTAGACAAACGTTTATATCTGAAAAACATTGCTTGCGACATTCTAGCATAAATCAGTCTAAATTGCAGTTACTACCTTATAACTTAGATTCTAAACATCCAAAATGCCATAACTTGTTTATGAGCGAGTGGGTGGGAAAAAATGCATGTACGGCTTACCTTTCAGTGGGCGGGCTAATACTCGCCTCCGTGTCCTTTATAAAATCATGACTTTACGTCATGTAATTAGTAAAATCTGGTAATTTTATTAAAGGACACGGAGGCTCTTATTAGGCTAGTTTAAAGCTGTGATATGACCCTAGATGAGATATGTTCTGTTGGTCTAAAGTAGTATTCCTTGAACGTCGATTCTCGGGACCAGTCAGCTGTGCGGAGGAGGTCTTCCAGTTTACATCCAATGGAGAATGCTTTAGAGGCCATAGCGCCTCTGGTAGAGTGTGCTCCGTAAGCGGTCGTGTCGATGTTAGCATTTGACATTATCCATTTCACCCAACGTGTCAGAGTTCCCGTGGATACTGGTTGATGAGGTTTCCTCACTGCCAAGAATAAATTATGTGTGTTTGGGTTCCGGAATGGCTGGGTCCGTAATTCATATTCCTGCAGGCATGCTACCGGGCAGAGGTTAGCGTTGTGAGGAAAGGAGGGATAGAAGACTGAAGTGGTGTTCGACTTTGTACGTCTGGTGATATTAAACAGGACACCATCCGGTGTGAATGATCGTGCATCGATATCCAAGGCCCTCACGTCTGATACCCGTTTGCAGGAAATTAAGCATAGAAGCATCGCCAATTTTGCAGACACTTGTTTGAGTGTTAGGTTCGAGTTTGGGGCCAATCTTGCAACAAACGAAGGACCATATTCACATCCCATAGGGCCGTGTAACGAGGTTGTGGCGGACGTGCAAATTTTATGCCCCGTAGGAGACGACAGATCCATAAGTGCTTCCCAGCCGGGAAACCTTCCCAACCAGTGTGCCCAGCTGAAATCGCTGACCTGTAGACATTTATGGTGCGATAAGCCAAGCCTTGATCATAAAGGGTAGTAAGGAAACCCAAAACCTGGTTTATAGGAGCACGTATGGGATCCACGTGCCGTTCCACGCACCAACTACACCATGTGTTCCAGGCATGGGCATAGGAACGTCTTGTCCCTGGGGCCCAAGCTCCTGCCAATAAGTCCAAAGTTGCTTGTGAAACATTCGGCATGGTCCAGGGTCCCCGGAGAGGAGCCATGTGAGGAGTCTGAGATGACCTTGCACCAGAAGTGGATGAGAGTTCCCATCGGGGTCTGATAATAATTCCGTGCTCCCTGGAATCAATCTGGGGAGGTCGATTGACATTTCCATGAGCGAAGGGAACCATGGCTGTGCTGTCCAGAACGGTGTTATCAAAACCAACGAAGCTCGGGAGCGCTGTAAGTGTAGGAGAGTTCGCGCTATGAGTGAGAAAGGGGGGAAGGCGTATAGCCTGGTGTTCGGCCAATTTTGTAGGAAGGCATCCACTGCCGTGGCGTCTGGGTCCGGTCTCCAGCTGAAGAATGAGGGGAGTTGAGCATTCAGTCGGGAGGCAAAAAGGTCGATGTGCATCGGTCCCCAGAGTTGGTGGAGCTTCTGGAATACTGTGCGATTCAATCGCCATGCACTGTTGTCTCGTAAATGCCTGGAGTGCCAATCCGCTACGGTGTTGGAGAGGCCTGGGAGGTATTCCGCCTGTACGGATATGTTGCGACTCAGGCAGAAATGCCAGAATTCTTTCGCCAAGTTCGTGAGGGTTGAGGACCTTGTGCCACCCAAGTGGTTGATGTAGCGGACGGCTGAGACATTGTCCATGCGCAGGAGTATGGAACAATTGGTCGTGTGTCCGAGGAGGCTCCGTAGGGCGAATGACCCAGCCAGGAGTTCCAAACCATTGATGTGGAGTTCTTTTTCTTCGGAAGACCATTTTCCACCTGTAGAGGTAGGACCACAGCGGGCCCCCCATCCCAGTCTGCTCGCGTCGGATTCTATGACTAGATCCGGAGTGGCGCCGAAGATTGCCTTGCCGTTCCATGCTTCCATGTGTTGAAGCCACCATGCCAGTTCCTCTTTTGCCGCGCAGTCTAGAGGTACAGAATCTGAATAGGAGTGACCCAAGCGTAGGTGAGTTGCCTTGAGTTGTTGTAGGGATCTGTAGTGGAGAGGGCCTGGGAAGATCGCTTGTATAGAGGCCGAGAGCAGGCCAATTATCCTGGCTAGCTGTCGGAGGGTTAAGACTGGTCGAGTCAACGTCCTCCGGATTTCCTTCTTGATAAGTTTTACTTTCGCGGTAGGAAGACTGAGCGTTCCGTGTACTGCGTCTATATCGAAGCCAAAAACTCTATCGAGTGTGAAGGTTGTAGGATCGATTTGTCCCAATTGATTAGGAAACCTAGGTTTTGCAAAAGGGTCACTGTCCAGAATAGGTGTTGATTCAGTAGCTGTGTGTCTTGAGCCATGATCAGCATGTCGTCGAGGTATATGATCAGACGTACACCTCTGCTGCGAAGGAGGGCAACTACCGGTTTCAGCAGCTTGGTGAAGCACCACGGGGCTGAAGACAGGCCGAAAGGGAGGCAGCGGAAACGCCACATCGTCTGTTCCCATTGGAATTGCAGTAATTGCTGACAGTCCTCGGCAATCGGTATTGTGAGGTATGCATCCTGGAGGTCCAACTTTACCATCCAGTCTCCCAGTCTTAGTAGGTCTCGGAGGCAGTGTATTCCTTCCATCTTGAAGTGATGGTATGTGACAAAGGCGTTGAGAGGCCGCAAGTTTATTACTGGCCTCGTGCCTCCACCTTTCTTGGGTACTAGGAAGATGTTGCTTAGGAACCCGGGGGCGGTAATGGGAACCCTGTATATCGCACATTTTTCCTCCAGTGTGCGAATCTCTTTTAACACTAGTTGTTTGTCTAGTGGGGAAAAAACAATCCGATGTGGCAATGAGAGTTGAATCGGCTGTTGTGTAAATTCGATGTGATAGCCGAGGATGGTCTCTAGGACCCATGTATCTGAGGTTAGGTTGTGCCACGCATCCTGGAAATGAAACAATCTGCCCCCCACAGGTACAAAGGGAAAGGTGCGTAATGTGGAGTGACTCACCATAAGGCCGACGGCCATAGGAGGATCCCCTGGTTCCGCGTGGATGCCATGATCTGCCCCTGGTCGGGAAGAATGGTGATTGTGCCCTTGGTTCGGGTGGGTGGAACCGTGGTGTGGCGGAGCCTCGATAGCCCCGGAACTGAGTCCGGGAGGGGCGGCCGGACAGACGGCCCCGCTGTCTGCCGGCCCCCCCGAAAACCTTTTGCGAGAACACTCGCTTCATATTATGTTGTGCCTTATCTAGTGCCGTAAATGTGTTTACGTAATTACCCAGGGTCTTAACAAAATTGTCTCCGAATAAGAGACCTTTTGCCTGTGTTCCAGGCTCAGAGATTGCCAAATGCACTAGTTTTGGCTCGATTTTCATCAATATGGCTTTACGCCTTTCTGTGGCCAAAGCGGTGTTGGCATTTCCTATTAGGCATATGCCCCTCTGAATCCAGCCTCTGATGGCCATCAAGTCAATTGGGGTCCCCCCAGTAAGGGCCGCTTCGACCATATCGAAGATTTTAGCTATAGGCCCGAGTATGTCCAGGATCTTGTCCTGGCAGTGTTTTAAGGAGTAGTCCAAACCCTTCTTGGCCCTCCAACCTGACTTACCCAGGAATTGGGCGACCTTGGGATCCACTTCAGGGGTCACGCAAGCCATGTCTGGGACAGTGGGCCTTGGGCATTCCGCCCTCAGTTTGCTTCTTGTGGCCTTGTCGAGGGGTTTTCTGACCCTAGTCGCAATATAAACGGCCACATGAGTTGTGGGGTACCACTCCGCTGAACGCGGATTATGCAAGGTGTCGGGATCAAAAAGGGGTTCCCCTTGGGGGTCTAATACAGCGGACTCATCCGTCTCGCGCTCCGCGTCTAAAGCTGGAGGCGCGGTGTCGCTGCGTTCGGGGGACGAATTGTCTGAATTAATTGGGTCGATGTCATCGGACCCATCTGATACCTCCTCTGAGTCCGAGTCGGAGTCGGACGGATCAGATAGGGCTTTTGCCCTCTTCCAAGTCCGCACCGTTTTTGCCCGGCGGGGGGCTCTTTTACGTGGGAGCACCACGTCATCAATTTCAACAGGGCGCAACCTGTCCGTCTTACTGGTTCTGGAGGTAGCACCTGACAGATGGTGCGATTTGCACGTAGCCTTGCGGCCGCTAGGGACCATAGGCTTGCTATCAGTGGATATAGGGGGTGCCGAGCCCGGGTTGTGACCGGATGCCCTAATAGCAGAGGAAATAGAGTGGGACAGGGTGTCCGACATCGCCCCCATGGCGGTAAAAATGGCCTGTGTAACAGACCTACTCATCGTGGCATCCAGGAGCGCCTGGAACTCCTCTGAGTTCACGTGCTCCTGGGATGCGTCCCCAACTCCCCCAATGACAGCAGCGTCTGTAGACATGGCTGTCTTATCACGCTTGCTGGGTTTAGTAGAGGTGGGAGGGGGGGTAACTGTCTTTTTATCAGCAGGGGACTGCATAGTGATCAGGAATGTGCACAGTAACAGTAGAGGGAGGCACTGAAATAAACCGTCACTATTGGACAAAATGCACACTTTCAACACTGCAGAGGTTAATAAAACCAGCAGTATAGGGCAAGTGGCTGAGCACTTGAGTTAAATTTAAGGCAGGCACAGTTATAAAGAGGCACAAAGTATTTTTGGCACATATAATATGGCAGCTTACCGAGTGTTCCCTCAGGAATGACTCCTGGGGGACACTGGTAAGCTGCCCAACATTTCCCTCACCCAATCAGCTCGCGCCCCTCCCTGTCAGAGTGGCGCGGACCGCGGGCGAAAAGAGCGGCAAAATTGCCCTCAGTTAAGATGGCCGCCGCGATGCGCGAGTGCGGACCGCGCATGCGCGAGCGGCAGAAACAGCCGCCCGTCCGGCGGTGAAACTGCTCGTTCCGGGCCGGGGGGGGCGGGGGGGGGTGGGGATAGGATGCCTGAGTGACCCCCACCCGGGGAAGTGGAATGAGGGACGGGTTATAAACAACCCGAAAACGGCAGTGCAGGATGGGGCTTGCCTCAGGGAGGAGGCAAGCACCCTGCACTGGGAAACAGAGTAAAACAAACAGTAGTCAAATACACATAAAAATTGAATATTAGACAAAGAAAAACTGATATTTAAAATGAACAGTAGAAAAACAATAAGAATATGAATCAGGAGAAAACTGAACAACACAATATTTGAGGAGCTGAAAATATGTGGTACTTAGCTGAGGCAGCAGCAAAGAAAGAGGAAGTAGTTTACCTAACATGAAGGGATATAGTACAAGGACTGATCCTATTGGTTAATGGATATGGAATGTTATATGGTTAACCCTTAAGGGTATTTGTTTTATCTTTTTGTTATTGCTATATTAAAAATATCAATATCCTTTCTTTGCTGCTGAGGAATAAAGAAAGAGATAAAGCCTAATAAGAGCCTCCGTGTCCTTTAATAAAATCAGTGTCTCCACCCTCTGCATGGAGACACACAAGATGGTGGTTTTAACATTATACAGTCAGGAATACATGACCCTATAGTGTTTCTTTAAATAATAATATTTATTAAAAAAAATCTCTCTCTTTTCAGCAAATCTTTGGGCTAAAATTATCTTTAAGCAGGAAGTGGCTGAGATACCTCAGCCAATCCCCACTCTCCCACATAGTGCTGCGGGAACTAGAAAGACAATGATTGGACGCCTGAGAAGCAGGCATAGATAAATGCAAAGAAACGTGTAATCTTAATAGCATTGCAGTAAGGAGAGAGATAAACAAGGTTCTGTGTCTCCTCCCCGTCGTTTGCATTGTGTGCCATGGCTGTGCCAGAGCTAAACTGAATTGTGTCAAATGCTTAATATATACGACAAATTTACAAGGAAACAGAACATCGCATAAAAATAAGGTTAATGAGAGTTAGAGGTGAATTTCAGTATTTTATTCATTGGTGGAATTTCCAGAGAAGCGGCAGTTCTCCTTTAATGCATTATACGACTAAAGTATTAAGATATGCTGTAATAAAGGGTTAGAGGAAACAAAAACACGAGTGCGGCCGTGCAGGCATCGCAAGTCAAACACAGATCCAGCCACAGATACTTAGTGACGGCGAGGGCCCCCAAATGCTGAAAAAGGAAGAATGCAGCATATACATTCTACATACTGCAGGGCAACTCTTTTCATTCACTGTTCTTATTATGCAGCTGTGATAGGTGTGGAGGGTGATACAGAAAATCTACGTTCAATGCCCAGCTGATCGGACGCAGTTATTGTGCTTATTGAGATTTATTGTAAAAGGTTTTTGTTCACAGAGAGAATTAGAGTAATACAGTCACACATCCTTAATGGACACGGCTGCCAAACTGACCTTTTTACCTAGAGAAATCTTTCACCTTCACACTGATGAACAGTTTAACCATTAATTTGCTGAATGTAGAGCGATTGCAAAATGAAAACTACACTTAGCAGCACCTTTCCTGTAGTGTCCATCAGCCCAAATAAATGACGTATCTAGAAAACAATGCTGGACATCAAAGTGACAACACTTGTAACTGCAGCGAGGACCTGTGAATTCTCTCTCTGTATAAACACTCAGATCTCACACTGAGGTTATTCACTAAATCGTGAAATGTCAGGAATCGACTCGTTTCAGATTAGTATGGAGCTATCACTAACATTGTACTTTAGAAGAAAACCTGACAACGGCACTTAAATCAAGTCAGTGAAACAGAGAGTAATCAACGCTCTTTATAACTCCACTTTAATCATGTTACGAAGAACCGGGGAAAATTGACAAGAACCAATTATTTTGTATCAGTCAGACTGAACAGCAGTTTTTTGCAGTGTTTCCTGTGCTGATATCCCAATGCGCTCAGAGTCAAAGGGGACCATTTCTTACTGGAAGATTTAGAATGCTCTGAGCTCTGTGAAGCTACATTCATTATAATTAACAGATAATTGTGCTCTATTCGTACAGTATATAGTTTGTGCAGTACAAAATGAATAAAACAGGTTCAGGGTTTGTTCTAACTCACTTCTTCATTGCCCTTTGTTTTATAAACAGAGCGACATTTGGGTACAATGACTTCACGGCAGAATTTGGGGAGACAGGTACCCAGAATGAACACACAGAGTATTCACTACAGGGAGAATTGTATGGAATTTCAAGCATAGCGGATTGGAAGAATTTGCCCGTACTATTTTGGGGACTCTTCCTCTTGGATATATATTTTTTTTACCACTTTTCAGAGCAGACATATTCATAAATCTCCCCCAGAGGTGAAAATGTAAAGGAATGTTTATTTACTGGAAAAATTTTATGTGCTTCCCCTCTGTATCTATTCTATATAAAAACTGACAGCTTGCTACACACAGGTTAAAGGACCACTATAGTGACAGGAAAACACACTCGTTTTCCTGGCACTATAGTGCCCTGAGGGTGCCCCCACCTCAGGGACCCCCTCCCACCGGGCTCTGGGGAGAGGAAAGTGGTTAAATTTACCTTTTTTCCAGCGCCGGGCGGGGAGCTCTTCTCCTCCTCTTCTGCTGAATGCGCATGCGCGGCAGGAGCTGCGCGCGCATTCAGCCAGTCTCATAGGAAAGCATTCATAATGCTTTCCTATGGACGCTTGCGTCTTCTCACTGTGATTTTCACAGTGAGAAGCACGCAAACGCCTCTAGCGGCTGTCACTGAAACTGCTATGTTTATTTAAAAAAGGGTTAATCCTAGAGGGACCTGGCACCCAGACCACTTCATTAAGCGGAAGTGGTCTGGGTGCCTAGAGTGGTCCTTTAAACAAAACGTGCCAAAAGAGGACATCTAAGAAAAAGAGCAGACGTAAGGAACAGAGCATTAAACCTGTTAATGCCCACCAGTATTGATTGCCTTGTTCTGGAATCTGGACAGTTAAATGGACATTCCACTTCCAAAATATAAATCACTGTTTAGTTGATGTACCCTTAAAGAAAAGCATGCCTTTTATCATTGGAGTTATATCTATAAACAGCTTGCAATAGCTGTAGATCTCTTGTCTGCAGCCTCTGCAAGCCCTCCCCTTCTAACCCCGCCCAGACTTTCTGTGACTGTCCAATCACAGACTCCCCAATGAAGCTCAATGAGAAGTTTGGGCAATTACTGCCTCTTGAGTTTAGTTCCATTGAGCTAAACAAACCAGGGAGTAACAGGACGGACTGTCTAATTGACAGCGCGGGGGAGGGGGGGTGTAATAAGGTTCATTTATAAAAGGGCCAATTTCTATTAAAATCTGCACTTTTTATAATATGAAACCAAGATTGGGTGTGGAATGTCCCTTTAAGTCTGCAAATTATAGCGAGTCAGCAATCTGTGTAAAGCAAGGAAGCGCATGTCCCTGGATTCCAAAGGAAATATTTCAAAATAATTATGAAATCTAAGGTAAATGAGTTTATCTTTTTTATATTAGTGTCTCTGGCTCAGTTGGACGAAATCAAGGACTTGGCATTATATACCATTGCTATGTACAAGTCCAGATCTGTGAGAAATATCACAAGAAACAAGCTTATAGAAAGAATGGGTTTTATCATTGAAAATAATGAAAAATAAACAAAAATAATATTTTTATTAAGAAAGGAACCTTGGCTTCTGAAATAGGGCACGGATTTCATGTTAAATTAAATTTCATTTAGACGTATTCAATTTTCTCTCCTGAAAATACCCTCCATTTCACTGGGATTTGCTTTAAAATGATTACCGGTATTTATAAGGTAAAGACAATAGAAAACGCTCGAATGTTTACTGCACCATAACCACATCACTGCAATGAAGTTATTATAACTGAAGTGGTTATGGTAAGCCAAGTGTCCTTTTAAAATTTCAGAAAATTCTAAAGTATGTGTGTCTTGTTAGCTTTGTTATATTGGATTGGTTATTTTTGCATATTTTTTAAGATGCTTGAAATACAAAATGGTACTTTGCAACCTGCAGACCCCCCTTTAAAGTCACGCACTGGCAACCGGACTCCACCCGTGCATATAAATAAATACCGTAGTTGTATTCCTTCATATGTGTGCTGGAAAAAAAATCTAAGCGTTATACCACCTCAGCCAGCGTCTCAGGCCAGAGAGATTGCAGGATACCACATGATTTTCTTGTAAAATAACTGATTAATATTGTAATTATCTGAAAACAGCCATTATTAAACCCCCCCAGTGGAAGTGTGGATAATGATATTGTGGCAGCAAAGACCGTCATCTCCTGCCTTTTACATGACAAAGGAAGGGTGTACAGGACGAGGCCTGGGAAGAGATCACATCTCTGATCTAAACCAAGATAATGAAAACCCCTGTCCTAGCGAGGCCTTTGATAACTACAGCTTGTTACTCTGTAGACGGCTCTCTCTGTTCGTCAGAGCCTTCCTTGTTTTCAGCTGTTGACGGAGATGTAGCTGGGATGAGAAGCTGCAACTCCTCTGCGGTAATGGCGACTTTCTCTGGCTGCAGCCAACGCTTCAAATGTTCCAGGGTGCTGGAAAGGTGAGAATTGAAACAGGGAAATCAATAGTTGTATGCAGCTAAGAATACAGACAAATTAAGATGACTTAAAAGTGTGTCAAGAACTTAACCAACAACCCCCCTCTCCCAAAAAAGAACCTGACAGTACTCCGTATTCGCGTATGGATTTAATTCTCTGCTAAACAGGCAAGGAGGAGACTTGTTGAGAATTGACAGCGGCCACAAGTCCACCACAATTTCATGTAAATTTACTTTTAGGATTCTTCACTGAGCATTAATTTGGAAAGGCAAAATTGAGTTTAAATAACTAATTTGGTAGAATTCCCCAACTCTGCGATATTCACAGTGAAGATATTTTTGCATCAGTTTTGCCACTTGAAATTTATTTGCGAAAAAGTTAGAGATTAGTGAAAAATAACTTGTTTGAATTCACTATGAATACAGACAATTAATACTGCCGTGAAAGTCGTCATCGGAGGGTCTGTCATTGGGAGTTTGTAACAGGTTAATATTATGTACTCGCCTTGTAAGTCGGTGCTATATTATTATAGTACAGTTTGAATAGGAAATTACAAAAAATTCCATGTATTCCATTTATTTGCTAATTTGTGAGGTTAAAAGAATATTTAACAAATTTTAATGAAAATTCTTACTAGAATAAGATAGAGACCAAATACTATTCTCATCTGATAATCTTATTGAATCTCTCTGCCTTTTTCCCTGGATTCCTCCAAACATGCCCCTGTTATACTCTGTACTACACCCTGCTGCCGCCGCAATACGCTCTCCTCCACCCACTGTACGCAATATTTCTCAGGATGCCCTGCCATCCATCTAATTACACACTAAATGCATTCGTTGTTCAGTAAATTCTGAGTACCACACGTTCACTCTAATTATTATAGTGTAAATGAAGAATATCCCTGACACGTTTAACGCGGCCTTTAGCAGGACGTGTAACAAGTAATGTCTGGGCATTTCAGATAAGGAAAGTGCAGAAGATCGGAGTCAATTCCTTTACTTCGATCACACTGTGTATCTGGAATCTGACAGATATAGCGATGTTTTATGGAAACTCACCCAATCTAAACGTTTACTGATGACGTTATTGGAAGATAACATTTTCTGACACTTCGTCTGCTCACTGAGTGTTCATTGCTCAGTGTTTATAGTACCTGTCATCCACGTCGTTATCTCCTATGTAGGCCTCAGACTGAAAGGATTCCTGCAGGCACCTATCCCAACATTCCTGCTTAGCTTGGCTGAGCGACCGTAGCATGTCCTTAGAGGTAACTTCATGGGACAGTCCCTTAACTTTCTGTAGCCGACGTTCTGAATAAAGCGAAGAGTTAAAAGAACAAGCATCCAATAAAACATGTTCTGTAGATCAGTGCATGTTATTTGCTATTTTGCTGATTCAGTAAGCGACTTGTCAATTTAAAATTGTGAGTGACCAAAAAGAATGAATACTCTTTCTAATCATAGGCGTGAGCAGCGTATTGTGTTATAGTGCGTGCCCAGCGTATTGTGTTATAGTGCGTGCCCAGCGTATTGTGTTATAGTGCACCCAGCGTATTGTGTTATAGTGTGTGCCCAGCGTATTGTGTTATAGCGCGCCCAGCGCATTGTGCTATAGTGCGCCCAGTGTATTGTGTTATAGTGTGCGCCCAGCGTATTGTGTTATAGTGTGCGCCCAGCGTATTGTGTTATAGTGTGCGTCCAGCGTATTGTGTTATAGTGTGTGCCCAGCGTATTGTGTTATAGTGCGTGCCCAGCGTATTGTGTTATAGTGCGCCCAGCGTATTGTGTTATAGTGTGTGCCCAGCGTATTGTGTTATAGCGCGCCCAGCGCATTGTGCTATAGTGCGCCCAGTGTATTGTGTTATAGTGTGCGCCCAGCGTATTGTGTTATAGTGTGCGCCCAGCGTATTGTGTTATAGTGTGCGTCCAGCGTATTGTGTTATAGTGTGTGCCCAGCGTATTGTGTTATAGTGCGTGCCCAGCGTATTGTGTTATAGTGCGCCCAGCGTATTGTGTTATAGTGTGTGCCCAGCGTATTGTGTTATAGCGCGCCCAGCGCATTGTGCTATAGTGCGCCCAGTGTATTGTGTTATAGTGTGCGCCCAGCGTATTGTGTTATAGTGTGCGCCCAGCGTATTGTGTTATAGTGTGCGCCCAGCATATTGTGTTATAGTGTGCGCCCAGCGTATTGTGTTTTAGTGCGCCCAGCGTATTGTGTTTTAGTGCGCCCAGCTTATTGTGTTATAGTGTGTGCCCAGCGTATTGTGTTATAGCGCGCCTAGCGTATTGTGTTATAGCGCGCCCAGCGTATTGTGTTATAGTGCGCCCAGCGTATTGTGTTATAGTGTGCGCCCAGCATATTGTGTTATAGTGTGCACACAGGGAAATTTAACATACAAACTTCACTAAAAATGACTAATATAGAAAGGAGGTAGAAAATATAATTGCACACAGGACAAAGAGGCTTAATATCTATAGACTGCATAGTGATATATACACATTAGTATCTGTGTGTCCAACTGATCTATAAAGACAAAAGGTGAAATTAACCATAACCATTACATCGGCATGTAATGTTTATGGTGCCTAGACCGAACACTTAATAAATAAATCTTATTGCAAGTGGTTAAATGGCGTGACGAATGGTTTAAGTGTGTATTGCAGCTAGCAGTGTGCTATATCATTGCTGTAAGTACATATCCCACATAGAGAATGCTGTGCGCTCCCATACTCAGTGTGACAGGCTCTATGCCAGCACGGCTACCTCTCCAGTGTTTTTTAAGTAACATATTGTGTCTGTGTAAATGAGAAATGATTAATTCAAGCCAGCAGTTACAGTGTAATTCCAAAACAGGAACGATAATAGAAATATTGTAGCACAGCATCAGATGATTGTCGTTACTGACCTAACGATGCCAAGTAAACCTCGGAATCCTGCAGAGGGGCCCATGGTTGGGGGTTAAGGAGGGGTTCTCTGGGTTCACCGTTACTGAACTCTCTTTGATGGGCGCCACTTTCAGGGGGGGAGCATTGAAACGAGTCTGCGAATGCGTGCGATGCCAGCTGGACATCGGTTGGGCACGGGCAAATCTCAGCCCACAAGTCATGGCTGGAAACCTTTCCAACGTCTATGCTTTCGATCATTCTCATTGATGCAAGGAACCCTGCAGAGAGAAACCAACAAGGCCAGGTCAGGTGAGTCCATTAACAACGGGACTCTCAGAACATGGAGCTTCACAAATAATAAACCAAGTAAGTGCTGGTGCTGCAGTATGTGCACTGCGTGCAAGAAATCGGACACAGACAGCTGGAAACACAATCACATTTAATAATGGCAGTGGTTATGGTGCCAGAGGTTACACAGTATGTAATAATAATAATGGCAGTGGTTATGGTGCCAGAGGTTACATAGTATGTAATAATAATAATGGCAGTGGTTATGGTGCCAGAGGTTACATAGTATGTAATAATAATAATAATAATAATAATAATAATAATAATGGCAGTGGTTATGGTGACAGAGGTTACACAGTATGTAATAATAATAATAATAATAATAATAATGGCAGTGGTTATGGTGACAGAGGTTACACAGTATGTAATAATAATAATACTGGCAATGGTTATAGTGACAGGTTACACAGTATGTAATAATTATAATAATAATAATAATGGCAGTGGTTATGGTGACAGGTTACATAGTATGTTATAATAATAATAATAATAATGGCAGTGGTTATGGTGACAGGTTACACAGTATGTAATAATTATAATAATAATAATAATAATAATGGCAGTGGTTATGGTGACAGGTTACATAGTATGTAATAATAATAATAATGGCAGTGGTTATGGTGACAGAGGTTACACAGTATGTAATAATAATAATGGCAGTGGTTATGGTGACAGAGGTTACACAGTATGTAATAATAATAATGGCAGTGTGTTAAGACACCTCCAGTGTCTTTAAGCCAAACCGCCGTTTAGTATACCTTCCCCGGCTGCAGTACAATCTCCGTTCGCTTACTCTGTAACACACGAACCCAATGCAGGGGAAGCGGTAATCTCCCGATCGAAATCCACGAGCGGCTCCAAACTCTCGAACGGCAATATACGAACTGCTAGTAACCGTCGAACAATAATATCCCCAAAGCGGCTTTCGTTCCATCCAGCAGTCTCTAAACGTGAAGAAGAAATCCCCCCAATAACGAGACAGAAGCTCCGCATTGAGGGTCAAATAAGATCTGGTTTTACTGTGGGCTACCTGCCCGTATTTATGCAGGTCTCCCACCTGGTGGACACTCCCCTAGGGGACCAAATGGGAGACTTAAACTACAGACAGATAGAAGGACATTTCAGACACACAGTCACATATTTTACCCACAGTGCATTCTGATTCCCTCCCCTCTGTCCTGGAGTTAATTACCAAGTAACTCAATTAACTCCAGGACAAGGACAGTCGCCATCTTAAACATAAAATAATAAAAGACATAAAAATACATAACTACATGAAAACTGAACATTTCCCGTTAGTATTACATGTCCCCAGATAGCCTGGATCTGAGTGCATATTATTAGCGAATAGCGCTCAGATCCCACACACATAGTTCAATCGCCATGGAGTCAAAGTTCTTACAGTCTTTCGGTATACGAATGACTCCATGGGAAGGCTATCTGGGTTAAGTCTTTTGTATGCTCTCAATCTCCCGAACGGCCGGTGTTCGCATGCTTTCGTGGAGGCAGCCAGGCGTTCCCTTGTTTCAGCGGTGTTCGGCAGAAAAAGTGTCCGTTTTCAGTTCCATAGAAATAGAGCCAAACACCGCTGAGCGTTCGCATGATTTAAAATGGCCGCTGCCTCGTGGTCGACATACGAACGACGACCACCCTGAGTTCGGTTTAATTGAGAAGTGTCTGCGGTTAACCACAACGTTCTAATGGGGATCACTTTGTTAACCAGCAGCACACTCCTCACTTGGGTGGCCGTTCGTTCGGCAGATTTGTTCGGGAAAAAGAGTCATTCGAATGGCTGGGCTATAGAAACCAGCCATTCATACGAACGGGGACAAACAGACGAACGGGCAAAAATCCAGCAGACAGATGGTTCTGTCACACGGCTCCCTCCTTGTGGGACACTCCGGCAGACCCGGCTTGACCCTGTGGCGGGTCAACTTGGGGATGACCGGACTACGAGGTGATGGAAACGTCTGTTTGTCGTGATAACCCATCTGCATTTCCGTTTAGCTTACCGGGTCTGTAGCTGATGGTAAAATTATAGGGCTGTAGTGCCAAGCTCCATCTCAGCAGTCTCCCATTGTCTCCTGAGACCCGGTTAAGCCAAACGAGTGGGTTATGGTCCGTCACCAGAGAAAACTCTTGCCCATACAAGTAGGGACTTAACTTTTTCAATGCCCAGACCAAGGCCAAACACTCCTTCTCCACTGCCGCATAACTCACTTCTCTGGGTAACAACTTTCTGCTGAGATATGCGACAGGGTGCTCTCCTCCATCTTCCCCGACTTGGCTCAGCACAGCCCCCAGTCCATACATGGAAGCATCTGTATGGACGAGAAAGCGTTTGTTAGGGACTGGAGCAGCCAAGACAGGGGCATTCACAAGAGCCTGCTTCAGTGCCTGGAACGCAGCTTCACAAGCCGGAGACCACAGGACCTGCTTAGGCAAGTTCTTCTTTGTCAGATCTGTCAGGGGCTTAGCAATAGCGCTGTAGTCAGGGACAAAACGTCTATAGTACCCTGCCGTCCCCAAGAAGGCCAATACCTGGGTCTTAGTAGTAGGTGTGGGCCAGTTAGCCACTGCCTCTACCTTGGCTGGCTCTGGTCTCTGGCTCCCACACCCCACTCTGTGACCCAGGTACTGTACTTCCGCCATACCTAGATGGCACTTCTCTGGCTTCAATGTCAGGCCAGCGGCCCGAATCTTATCCAGTACCACCCCTACATGAACCAGGTGTTCCTCCCAGGACCCACTGTAAATCGCAATGTCGTCCAAGTATGCACAGGCAAATTCTTGGAAGCCATCCAGGAGTCTATCCACCATCCGTTGGAAGGTAGCCGGTGCATTTTTCATCCCAAAAGGCATGACCTTAAATTGGTACAGGCCAAATGGGGTGACAAATGCCGACTTGGGGATAGCATCCTCAGCCAGGGGGATCTGCCAGTAGCCCTTACACAGGTCTATGGTGGTCAGATATCGCCCCCTGGCAATACGATCTAGTAATTCGTCTACCCGGGGCATTGGGTAGGCGCCAGTGGTGGTCCGCTCGTTGAGTCGCCTGTAGTCCACACAGAACCGGGTGGTCCCATCTTTCTTTGGCACCAGGACTACAGGCGAGGCCCAAGGGCTGTCGGAGTGCTCGATAACCCCAAGTTGGGTCATCTCCTGTATCTCCTTCCGCATTCCTTCACGGACTGCTTCAGGGATACGGTAGGGGGGCTGTCGTAACGGGGTCTGTCCAGGGGTCTCTACCTTATGCACAGCTAGGGTGGTATAACCTGGTTCCTGGGAGAACGTCGCCTGCTTCTCCCATAACAACTGCTGCGCCTGTACCCTTTCTGTGGGGTTCAACCGGTCCCCTAGCTGTACCAAGGTAGTAAGGTCAGTCTGGGAATCCCTTTCTAATAGATCTGGAAGGGGTAAATTCTCAGAATCATCTGCAGCTGGGGCACATACTGCTGCAATATTCTCAGGTCTCTCCTGGTACTCTTTCAGCATGTTCACATGAAAGGACCGCTGGATCCTCTCATCTGCACAGCTGGCTATCAAGTAAGTAGTGTCGCAGATCTGCGCCACTACCTTGTACGGGCCCTGCCAATATGCTTGCATCTTGTTGGCCTTCACAGGTTTGAGCACCAATACCTTTTGTCCAACCTGGAAGACCCGCTGTCGGGCGCCCTGATCGTACCATCTCTTCTGTCTCCCCTGGGCCGCCTGGAGATTCTCCCTTACCATCAGGGACAGTTTCTCCATGCGGTCCCGGAGTTCCAGAACATATGGTACTATGGGGGTCCCTTCCTGCTCTGTCTCCCCCTCCCAGTGACCTCTAATGAGATCTAGGGGTCCGCGGACCCTTCTCCCATACAGCAGCTCAAAGGGGGAGAACCCAGTAGATTCCTGGGGCACCTCTCTATAAGAAAATAATAGATGAGGCAGGAATCTCTCCCAGTCTCTGCAAGTGTCTGTAAAGGTCCTCAGCATCTGTTTGAGGGTACCGTTAAAGCGCTCGCAGAGACCGTTAGTCTGTGGGTGGTAGGGTGAGCTAAGTAACGGCTTAATGCCACACACCTTCCACAGCTGCTGGGTGAGCACAGCGGTGAATTGGGTTCCCTGGTCGGAGAGAATCTCCTTAGGGAACCCGACCCTAGTAAAAATTCTAACCAGGGCATCAGCAACCGTCTCTGCCTCTATGTTAGACAGCGCTACTGCCTCTGGATAGCGGGTGGCATAGTCCACCACGGTAAGAACATACTTCTTACCGGATGGACTAGCCCTGGCCAGTGGACCCACGATGTCAACGGCTATGCGGGCAAAGGGCTCCCCTATAATAGGCATCGATAATAGCCTAGCCTTAGGGTGGTCCCCCCGCTTTCCTACCCGTTGACATGTGTCACACGTGCTGCAGTACATCCGCACAGCCTGGTTGAAGTTTGGCCAAAAGAAATTCTGTGAGATCCTATAGGCTGTGCGGCGGGACCCTAGATGTCCAGCTAATGGAACATCATGCCCTATCCGCAGAATCTCCTGCCGGTACTTTGCAGGTACCACTAACTGGCGATTCGGCGGAGAGGCAACACTCTTCTGGGAAGGTTTAGGGATCCTATATAACCTGTCCCCCACCCACTCATACCGTTCCCCATCTATTCCTTCCTCTCCAGCATCTGCCCTGTCTTTGTATCTTTGGAGGGTCGGATCTGCCCGGGTTTCCCTCCCAAACTCCTCTGGGGAATCCCAGCTTAAGGGGACCTGATCTGGGGTACCAGTCGGGGAAGGAGATCTTACCTGGGTCTCATCAGCAAGTGGGCTGGTTCCGGCAGCACGGGTCTGGGCACGGGTGGTCACTGGGTTCACATCTGCAGGGCCCATCGGAGCATAGGCTGAAACCAAAGGGGCCAAATCGTTTCCCAAAAGAACATCTGCGGGCAAGTCCTTCATCACCCCCACATCCACATGTCTAGCGCCCACTCCCCAATCCAAATGTACCCGGGCAACAGGTAAGCGAAACACAGCACCCCCTGCTACCCTTACTGCCACAGTGTCCCCAGTGTGTTGATGCTCTGAAACCAAGTTCTTTTGGAGCAGTGTCATCGTGGCTCCTGTGTCTCTCAGCCCATTTACCACTCTGCCATTCAGCTTCACAGTTTGCCGATGTTGCTGGCGATTATCCTGGTGAGCTGCTTGCACTGGGTCTGCCTCGTGTAGGATGCCCCAGAATTCCTCCTGCTCTAGGCAGTGAGCAGCAGGCTGAGGTGGGCGCTGGTTTCCATTAACTGGTCTCCTCCAGGACTGAGCCTGGTTGGCACTGTTCAGTGGGCACTCAGGACGCTTGTGCCCCAACTGCTTGCACCCAAAACACCGGATGGGTTGGGAATACTCACGGGCATTAAATCGGGCTGGCTGCACATAATTGTTAGCTGGTGGTGCGGCTGGGGTACGGTGTACTGGGGGTTGATAGACTGAAGGAGCGGGTATTACTGCTGGTCGATACTCCGGTCTGGCAGGGGCTTTAGCATCCAACTTGCGGGCATCCGTGTATTCGTCTGCCAGACGGGCAGCCTCGGGTAGGGTAGAGGGTTTTCTATCTCTGACCCATTCCCGGACCCCAGCAGGTAGTCTATCAAAACAGTGCTCCAGCAGGAACACTTGTAATACCTCCTCCCCAGTTACCGCTTGGCATCCAGCCATCCAGTGGGCTGCGGTACGATGGACTCTGCAGGCCCATTCCACATAAGAGTCCCCAACCAGCTTGTTGGTTTCTCTAAACCTCCGCCTGTACGCCTCTGGGGTCACCGCATACCTGGCTAGGAGCGCCTCTTTCACAGCCCGGTAGCTGGTGATCTCCTCCTCTGGGATGGCCCGAAAAGCTTCACTAGCCCGGCCAGATAATTTCCCAGAGAGGATGGTGACCCATTCATCTGCAGGTACCTGATGTAGCGCACACTGCCTCTCAAAGTCTGCCAAAAATCCATCAATCTCTCCCTCCGTTTCCACAAAATTTTTAAACGCAGCAAAAGGTACCTTCTTTCTAGCAACCACATTATTGTCATACGGTACCTCTGCTGCTGCAGCTCCTCTTTCCCGGAGCGCCTGCTGTGCTGCAACTGCTGCCTGCACACGAACCACGATGTCAGCTGAGGGGTTGGGGCCAAAATGTGCCAGCCTTATTTGCACTGCCCGGTTAAATTGTATTTCCTCGGGTGTTAAATCCAAGGTACTGGGCACGTTGACTCTTTCCATTCCCGTTGCTGCATCCATCTCCATTAGCAAAGCAATAATCTCCCGTTTCTTTAAATTGCTTGCTGACCTTCCTCGGCGTTCCAATATGTCCTTAAGTGTAGCACGCCTTAATTCCTCGTACTGCATGTCTTGTAGCTGACCTCCAGTGCTGTAGGATTCATCCCGTCGCTTGCCACCAATTGTTAAGACACCTCCAGTGTCTTTAAGCCAAACCGCCGTTTAGTATACCTTCCCCGGCTGCAGTACAATCTCCGTTCGCTTACTCTGTAACACACGAACCCAATGCAGGGGAAGCGGTAATCTCCCGATCGAAATCCACGAGCGGCTCCAAACTCTCGAACGGCAATATACGAACTGCTAGTAACCGTCGAACAATAATATCCCCAAAGCGGCTTTCGTTCCATCCAGCAGTCTCTAAACGTGAAGAAGAAATCCCCCCAATAACGAGACAGAAGCTCCGCATTGAGGGTCAAATAAGATCTGGTTTTACTGTGGGCTACCTGCCCGTATTTATGCAGGTCTCCCACCTGGTGGACACTCCCCTAGGGGACCAAATGGGAGACTTAAACTACAGACAGATAGAAGGACATTTCAGACACACAGTCACATATTTTACCCACAGTGCATTCTGATTCCCTCCCCTCTGCCCTGGAGTTAATTACCAAGTAACTCAATTAACTCCAGGACAAGGACAGTCGCCATCTTAAACATAAAATAATAAAAGACATAAAAATACATAACTACATGAAAACTGAACATTTCCCGTTAGTATTACATGTCCCCAGATAGCCTGGATCTGAGTGCATATTAGCGAATAGCGCTCAGATCCCACACACATTCTTACAGTCTTTCGGTATACGAATGACTCCATGGGAGGGCTATCTGGGTTAAGTCTTTTGTATGCTCTCAATCTCCCGAACGGCCGGTGTTCGCATGCTTTCGTGGAGGCAGCCAGGCGTTCCCTTGTTTCAGCGGTGTTTGGCAGAAAAAGTGTCCGTTTTCAGTTCCATAGAAATAGAGCCAAACACCGCTGGGCGTTCGCATGATTTAAAATGGCCGCTGCCTCGTGGTCGACATACGAACGACGACCACCCTGAGTTCGGTTTAATTGAGAAGTGTCTGCGGTTAACCACAACGTTCTAATGGGGATCACTTTGTTAACCAGCAGCACACTCCTCACTTGGGTGGCCGTTCGTTCGGCAGATTTGTTCGGGAAAAAGAGTCATTCGAATGGCTGGGCTATAGAAACCAGCCATTCATACGAACGGGGGACAAACAGACGAACGGGCAAAAATCCAGCAGACAGATGGTTCTGTCACACGGCTCCCTCCTTGTGGGACACTCCGGCAGACCCGGCTTGACCCTGTGGCGGGTCAACTTGGGGATGACCGGACTACGAGGTGATGGAAACGTCTGTTTGTCGTGATAACCCATCTGCATTTCCGTTTAGCTTACCGGGTCTGTAGCTGATGGTAAAATTATAGGGCTGTAGTGCCAAGCTCCATCTCAGCAGTCTCCCATTGTCTCCTGAGACCCGGTTAAGCCAAACGAGTGGGTTATGGTCCGTCACCAGAGAAAACTCTTGCCCATACAAGTAGGGACTTAACTTTTTCAATGCCCAGACCAAGGCCAAACACTCCTTCTCCACTGCCGCATAACTCACTTCTCTGGGTAACAACTTTCTGCTGAGATATGCGACAGGGTGCTCTCCTCCATCTTCCCCGACTTGGCTCAGCACAGCCCCCAGTCCATACATGGCAGGGGTTATGGTGACAGAGGTTACACAGTATGTAATAATAATAATAATAATAATAATGGCAGTGGTTATGGTGACAGGTTACACAGTATGTAATAATAATAATAATAATGGCAGGGGTTATGGTGACAGGTTACACAGTATGTAATAATAATAATAATAATAATAATAATAATGGCAGTGGTTATGGTGACAGAGGTTACACAGTATGTAATAATAATAATAATAATAATGGCAGTGGTTATGGTGACAGGTTACAAAGTAAGTAATAATAATAATAATAATAATAATAATGGCAGTGGTTATGGTGACAGGTTACACAGTATGTAATAATAATAATAATAATAATAATGGCAGTGGTTATGGTGACAGAGGTTACACAGTATGTAATAATAATAATGGCAGTGGTTATGGTGACAGGTTACACAGTATGTAGTAATAATAATAATGGCAGTGGTTATGGTGACAGGTTACACAGTATGTAATAATAATAATAATAATGGCAGTGGTTATGGTGACAGGTTACACAGTATGTAATAATAATAATAATGGCAGTGGTTATGGTGACAGGTTACACAGTATGTAATAATAATAATAATAATGGCAGTGGTTATGGTGACAGGTTACACAGTATGTAATAATAATAATAATAATGGCAGTGGTTATGGTGACAGGTTACACAGTATGTAATAATAATAATAATAATGGCAGTGGTTATGGTGACAGGTTACACAGTATGTAGTAATAATAATAATAATGGCAGTGGTTATGGTGACAGGTTACACAGTATGTAATAATAATAATAATGGCAGTGGTTATGGTGACAGGTTACACAGTATGTAATAATAATAATAATAATGGCAGTGGTTATGGTGACAG